TGACTGGGTTGACCTGATCAATTTCAGGAATAGATGCAAATGGTGTTGGATGATAGCTTGCATTAATAAAACGTCTTTATAATCAAATCATTAACAGTGCTGAGACGAATATAATTTGTGATGTCACACAACCAGATAATGTTCTCAAGGGAGTATCTAAGGATAGTAATTAAAGGTGCCTGTATTTCAAGGGTGTCAACAAGGCTACATATGACTCCACTGTACAGCCCCTAAATGCTGACTGAATATACTTCATCTAATTAAACAGCTTTTTCAAGCACTAAAAGATTTTCACACACTAAATATTTCAGTTCATGCTGGTGCAAAATGCAAAACAATTACATGCATAGGTACTGACAGTTACCCAATGCGCATCTCAGTTGGGTAGGCTTTAAAGGGGACATATTATGCCCCTTTTTACAATATGTAATAGAAGACTCTGGTGTCCCCAGAATGTGTCTGTGAAGTTTCAGCTCAAAATACTCCACAGATCATTTATTATATCATTTTGAAAATGTCTATTATGAGTGGAAGCAGAAACACGCTGTTTTTCGGGCCTGTCTCTTTAAATGCAAATGAGCTGCTGCTACCCGCCCCCTTTTCCGAAATAGAGCTGCGCCATTACAGCTCAGCATACGTTCTTGAGTTTATCTATAGATAAAGGGTCAGAGCCAGGGCAGCTGATCCGTATTTAGAGCTCACACACTGTGCCGAACAAGAGAAAGTGGGAGCTGAAGTGCATGATTGATGCATGTCTTTTATGGAGTACAGGTCTCTGAAAACAGTGAGTTACTGTAAGAAAACCTGCACAATGTGACAAATCTGTCCATCTGTCAACACTGTACCCGAGTCCCAGCTATCCCGGGGCTCTATGCTTTAATATCAAGGCCAAAATGGTAACTTAGAGCAGAGATGTACTCCCAGACAACTCCTAAGAACTCACATGGCAAATAGAGCCCTTTAAGCCATCATCATATGCAACAGATCATACAAAAGCCTGTGGAGCTGTTGCCCTATTGATGACTTGACCGAAGTTTGGGTTTGGCCATGAATGGAGGCTTTATTGTTTTGCTGTAAACAAGCTGTATAGAGAGGCATGTGGGGAAAAAAAAATCTAAATTGCAAGTGAGCAATGGGCCTTCTGAAAGTAAAAAGTTGTGTTCAGGGCCTGAAAACATCCAAAGTCACGTTAGCACTAATGCAAACAAAGTACTGTTTCAGTGCTGCCAATAAAAAGAGGTTAAGAATGCTGAAATGTCCGGTATTGCTACTATTACATGTATCTTGATTTAAAGCTACCTTGGTTAGCTTTTTTGTTTGTTTTACACAACACCAACCACAAAATTAATGCCCCTAGAAATAAAGTATCAAATCTTCTTTGAGCAGTACTCAAGAGTCAAATGTTCTCTCTGCCCATCCCCATATCCACAGCCAAACCACAAAGAGGATATAAAGGATACCGCTGTGTTTTTAAAATCTAGTTAATTGGAGCATCCTTACCTTTCCACTGTCCGTTTTCATTCACTCAATCTATACCTCTTACCTTGCTACACTGATCGCAGCTTCCACATGTCACTCATATATTCCCAGAGGTGTGAGTCATTGAGTCCAAAGTCCTGTGATTGACATTCCATCTCCATTTGACAGGCAGGTGCAGTTCAGGTGATGTAGAAAACAAACAGAATTAAATCCCCTGCACTGAATGTTAGGTATATATCTGTCCACTATTCCGAAAGCCATTTGCTTTGTAAATAGACAAATTTAGCCAAGGTACTATGGGAGGTTTAAATGAGTGATCAGTAATAGACAATGCTATTAAGTATACAATACTGTATACTTAATATACAATATTATTTCAATATACAAGGTAACAAGGTGGGACATGTAAGTACATTTACTCACATATAGATATATAACTGTCTCCCAAACAGATTGCAGTATGCAGTTCACCTTACTTCCTGTAAATCTCAGCTCTTGACATTTATCTGACTTTGATTTCCTCTCCCCAATAACAGCCTCATTCCTTCGGTTTGCCCATGTTTTCTCACTCTAATCATCTCATTACGGCTGACACACGTGTCCTCCACCAATCAAAACCCCTTCACCTCTTCCACTGCCCTAGTCAATCTTCCCCTTAAGCCATTTAGAGTTCTCCTTCAACTGTTCATCAATCCATCTGGCTGCCCATCCATTCCTAACATCGCTGGGAAGGGATTCATAAATCATGTTAGCAAGATGGTGAGCTGTCATTATTGTGTTAGGACCGCCATAACTCAGATCTATTTCAGGCATACGTTTTGTGTACACAGTGAGATAAACCAAGAAAATAACAAATGGCCTATAAAGTTAATGACAAAGAAGATTTGAGCGTTTTGATTTGATGCCATACTGGTCACTTGGGTAAAAAAAAAAAAAAAAAGGTATATGCTGCCTATCCGATCAACCCTACGCTGGAACACAATGATGTCTCAGCTAACGTCTCATACAGCTGTGGTAAACAGGAAAGCGATTTGTCAATTAAACCTTCAAGGGTCCATTATCATTTACTGATTGCCTTGTTTACAATCCAATAACATGGTGCTATCAGCAGTTCTATAAACTCTCAAGCTCGACCCAGTCACTGTTCAACTGCACCTCGTCAGGTTTCTTGTAACAGCATCTGAGGACAGCGTGCACTAGACAGAGACAGGCTTCAAAACAAAGAAAGCATTTAATTGCTTCTACAGTTTCAGAGCTGCATACTGCTGTATTTGGAAAACTGTGATCTAGCATGTACCATAAACACTGTCAGAACCTACAGACAAAAAGCTTTTCTACCAGTGCAAGGCAGTATATTTTTAAACAGGTTGCCTAATGGGAGATTTGTTAGACAGCTTTCTACGCTGGATGCCAGAGAGGTGCACAAACAGATAATGATATCATATCAGACCCTGCCTGTTCATGTTATACCTCGAGGGGGTGGAGGGAAGGCATAAAAGCAGAGCATCGCGTGAAAAAAAGGACAGGTGCTGTTAGAGCAGTCTAATTGTCTCGTCATGGATGGTGACGCTAATGCAAAGATGTCTCTGTAATCCATTAGCTGGGTGAGAAGAATCCAAATATGACCCTCACTTTGACATGATAAATAATTAAATGGATGGAAAACATATTACTGAATCATATTGTGTCACAAAGAGAATAAGACTACAGCTCAGTTCCAGAAGCTAGTGAGCTGCCATGTTGTCTAGTGCCAACATAGACTGACTGAATTGAAATGCTAACAGGAAGCAACTCACAAATAGAGCTTATGCAACAACCCTCTACGCACACCTTGGCAGCTGAATAATTCTAAATGAACTCTGTTATTTTGACAGGAAAATACAACAAAGAATATGGTTTACATGTAGCGCGTCGATTCAGCGTGGTATGCAAGACTCTCGCTCTCTCTCTTTGCATGTGTGAGAAACACAGCGCTATCAGTAAAGCGACGGCGAGTCGTGCGCCTTCACACTAGTTTACGGTACGTCAAATACAGGTGCGCTGCGTGCTACATACTGCGCATCCATTGAGTACATGACATGATCCATTGAGCGCATCAAAATAGTACAGATCGTTTGACGGAGAGTGAAACTCTCAAGCGCTCAGTCAGCGTGTTTATCGAGTGAAAATCTGTGTTGAACGCCTCTCACACACATACTGGCGTGTAAAATCTAAGAATGTATTAGCCAATGGCTAATGTTAGACATTATTTGGTCGCCCAGAGTAAGATTTAGTCGCATATGCGAGTGATTTACTCGCAATGTAGAGGGTTGTGCAAGTGGTAAATGCAAAAATCAGCATGCCCTCCAAATACACAATGGGAAACTTCTGTTCACCTGCATTGATTTAGCTTCATTTGAAAACAATATGCAAATAGAAACTAGGAAAAAGTACCTTGCTGGTCTTTACTGGAATCTATCCCACAGGGCATGGGACTCAATAATGAAAACGTGTGTTTACTGTGTCACACAAACGTGAAATAAGAGCATACTGAATTTGCATTGCACTATTTATCTGTCCATATGACATCTAGGCAAATATACAAACAAAAGGTCAACAGAGTACGAGTCAATATGAATCTGATATTACAGCCATTAAACCCATGATGACCGAAAAAGTTTCACATTTCAGATAATGTCCACAACCACATGAATTCAAGACAATAATATGCCAATGACAAGGTAAAAATCAGTTCAACACCCTTTATAGTCAACATAAACCAGTGTCTCAACTCATTTTACTTCTGAAATGTGGCTATTCTAGTGAAACAGGATTTTCAACATGGAAAAAAAACTGTGGGACAGGTTTTAATTTGATGCAACAGGAATTGACTGGATCAGGAAAGGTGCTCTCTATATGACACGAGAGGGGTTGAGGGCTGACGTCACTAAAACGACCTGGAGCGTGCATTAAGAAAATAAATGGGGTCAACTTTGATTTCATGTCAACTTTAAGCTCTATGAGATTATTATAATGCACTCAGGTCACTATTGGAACCGATGTCCCTTGTAAGTGCTATTCGGGTCAGACGTTAATCAACGGGGTTTCGATGAAACAAAACCAAAAATATCTCCAAAGCAGGTCACACAGTTCCAGAACCAGTTTCAGACAGTCCTCGCACCTGCGTAGCAAACTCAGCAAAACATTTAGGCCACAAGAACGGGGCTGACCTGGAAACAGTACAAGATTGAACTAATGGCATTTACACAAAAGTGGAGGATATGATAACTTTTGAACAATTGCCATTAGTGGCCTAAAAACAGGAGCACGAAAATGTAACATTGCTAAATGCTCAGACAACCCAATTCTATAAGAATAAAAAAATGCCATAACTACAGAAAAATAGGTACACTTATAAAATACAGGTTCTTTATTAGCATCTATGGTTTCATGAAGAACTTTACATCACATAAAAGGTTCTATATAGTGGAAAAAGGCTCCACGATAAGTAAAGTAGACGCTCGTCGTGATAGGTCACTCACCCAGCTCATTGAGGCTCTGGGCAGCTTTAGTGATCTCTCTGCTGCCCCCCTGCAGTTGCCCCTGCAGCCGTTTGCTCAGGTACAGGATGCGAATAATCCTCCTCAACAGGTCACACGCCACCTGCCAGCCAGAATAAGATAAGACTTCTCATTCCTGTGTTCATCAAATAACACAATGACTTATGGGTCTATGATAGCCAGCACAAGCAAATATCAATAAGGTAATGACAATGATGCCCAAATCTTTGTTAATAGATTCAGAATTAATTTGTAAGTGGTGCTTTAATCAATCTTGTATTAATTAAATCAAGTAGAAGGATGTGCATCATCTCACAGGGTTGTTTTAGCACTAGAATATGCTGTCAATTCATTTTCAGTGCATTTCACACACATAAAAAGACTACAAACAGGCATGAATAAACATTTTGTTCACACCCTAACAGCCAACAGACACTATAATATAAAAGAAATAGGAAATGCTTTTAAACCAGTGCATTTGTGCTTAAAACATGCAACTGAGCCACACATTCAATATAGTGTGGTGACGATCAAGCCTGTGGGCAGACAGCAGGCGGATGAAGGACTCGTAGAGGTCAATCTTTTTTGGTTTTCAGTGAATAGGTGCAGCTGAACTGTCCCAAAGGTACGTGCATCTGATTTTGTGTGTGTGTCTGTGACTGATTGCTTTGTCCAGGGGTGACAGTGCGTCAGATATCGTGACAGAAAATGACAAAAGGATAACAGGAAAAAAAAATTCAGCTGTGTCCCCATCGTCAGGTCTGGTCTTATTCTTACGAGGAATAAAAATAAATTAAAATGTGTTGCTAAAGGCAAAGACCACATGGAATGAACAAAGTCCCGCACTTCTGAATCTGATTGTGCCATTAGATATAGTCAAACACACAAAAAAAATACTACAAAATACAGTCTATCATTTGTTTTTCTAATATGGACAGATAAACATTTTTTTTTACTTGTATTAATATGGTATGTTTATGGGTTTAATCTTTAGAAAAAATGTATAAGCGATAATAATAGTGATGCATGCCTTTGCAATCACCACTAATAATTCAAGCACACTGGTGAAGAACATATTTTTACAGAGACTGAATATTTTCGTATTTTAAACAAATGTATTCTTCTATAAATGTAAAAACAAATATTAGGTTCCTGTTGTGATCCATACTCAACAAACTGTATTTTTTTTCTCTGTGAAATAGAAATGTATTTCCTGTATATAGCTGCATGCAAAACAATGACCAAACCACTGACAGATCATCATGGAGTTTGTGATGGTGCTATGCTGATTAGCAAACATAAACGTGCAATTGTGTTTCTACACTTCAAAAAAGCTGCACAAGAAAAGGGGCAGAAAGGGGTTTTGAGAGTAAAGGGGAGCATTTCATAACCACAGCTGTATTTTATTCATATTTAATAACAATTCCCCAAAGCTACTAAAAACCAGGACCGAAAATCTTGTAAATCCACAAGATGTGTCGAGCGGGAGGGACAGTTGTGGGTATTCACGTGTGTGACTGAGAGTGTGAGAGAGGCCCTTCCTTTCCAGGTCCAAATTATTATTTTTTTTCTGCAGACTTGAAGCTTCACTCATGATGACATCATGTGAACCGAGGGCAGAAAGCGAACATGATAAAAGCGTGCATTTTTCTTGCCTTGCAACACTCAGATAATAGCAAAGAAACACAGGTTTTATTTTCCCTCAGGTGCACAAATGACTTTCCTTCAGACAAAATAGATGTTTTGAACTTTTTACCATGACAACACATAGTGACCACATCTGTCAAGTTACATAAAGAACAAAAAGTACAGTAAAGGTAGACCATACAAGCTTCAGAAGATATGGAATATGGCACACAGGCACTATGGACTTGTTTTTTTTTTTGGTTTTGGAACTTGACAGAAATGAATTCTGCACAAAGATACTATGTTTTTCTTTTATGTTCCTTGGAAACAAAAGTATATGGATTTAGAATGACATGATGAGAGTGAATAAATAATTACGATTCCTTTAAGAGATATATGAGATCATACTAATTACACTCTTAAAAGATTTTTTGAAAGACAATTAATTTTAATCTATTTTATTTTTTAGATATGGTAAAATTTTGAAAATCTATTTAGTTTTATTCAAATTATTATTATTTTTAGATGTGTTAAAATATTTTGAAGATCTGTATTTTTACTTATTTATTTTTTAGATGATAATCACAAATCAGTATTCAAAAACATCTATTGCACCAGAATGACTCTTTTTGTTTGTGTGCATTTCTTTTTCTTTTTGTTTTGCATGCTGGGTGTATTACAGAATCTGTCATGACTGCAGACAGTTGTGAAGACAGGGTTGTATCTATCTCAGATGTCGAGCCAATAAATGGAAATCAAGCTTCTGAGCGAATGCGCACAGTGTTTGTAAAGCAGGACAATGAAGAACTAATAGTTCTGCAGAATGTCTCTGTTGGAATATCCAGGGACAGAGAGACATGAGATGACAGAAGCAGATGTAAAAGTTATAAAATAACCTGTAAGCGGGCGAGCTGGGCTGTCCGCGCCACAATCTTATTGTAAGGGTCAACGATTTTGGTTCTTATCCTGAGAAAGAAAGGAGAGCGAAATCAGAAATGCATAAAAAAATACCACAAAGCATCTGACTAACTGGTGCTTGCAATTTTCAATTTATAGTGCACAAATTGTGCATTTTCTGATATCTATTCATTATGCATGTGACCACCACTTTTTTAAAAACATGGACCATTTCAGTGCTTTTAATGGATTCATTTACCTGTCCACAGCACTCTGGAGAGCTGCAATTCTGGTCTGCATCATTTGTAAGACACCTGGAAGCAAAACCACCAATCGTTTCCATGCTCAGAAAGAGATGTGACAAGGGATCCACCTGGTGGACAGCTGCTAAACTACATGTGCATTCAATTCAATTCACATTTATTTGTACTGCGCTTTTCACAATACATATCATTTCAAAGCATCTTTACAGAATTTTTTTTCTACATTATAATTAAGAGTAATCTGTTATCAGAGGTGACTGTATTATCTGTCAATGTCCATTTGACAGATAATACGAATCATGCAGTTGGTTAATGTCACATATTCTTTTAAGATGAAACAAAAAAAACTGTGATTGTTGCGATCATAATGATTGCAATATTAGGAAAATTTGCCAGTTTCGTATGTTTTAGAGTTGCCGTCATCTGAAGTCCTTGCAGGGGTTGGCGTCAGTAATATTAACAACTTTTCGGTATCCCAGATTATAATGCCGAGACGTCTATAGGCAAGTCGCAGATTATTTCCCTGAAAACTGAGTAAAAAACTATTTGTAAATGTACTAGAAGGGGGGAAAGCTGCACACTGCAACTTCTACATATGTGATCTCAGAATATTTCAAATGCCATTTTTTATATAGCCATTTCCTACCATTTCATTCATTTTGAAACTAATATTATAAGATTGCATAAACTTAATGCAACTGATGATTGTGATCTTAAAATGTGAAGCAGATAATGAAATATTACCTTCGAGAGATTCGATCCCTGTTGCCTGAGCTAGTAGATCCTCATGTCTGGCCACTACCTGAGATCAAATACAAAACAAAATATTGCTATTCAACTTCTAATGTGTTTAATTGGTAGCTTTTTATTGTAAGATCTGCACTGAAAGCTGTTCATCCTGACAGGTGTTTGACTCACCTGGCAGTGCAGCTCTTTGTCCAGCTGACTGATGCCCTCTGCCAGCTTTGCCAGCTGCTCTGCAATTACAGCATGATGAATGGCTTGAGCTGTGTACGTCTTCACATCGAAATCCTCTTTAAGGAAATCAGTGTAGCACTCTGGAAGGAAACGGATCAGGATTTGTAAAACATACAACAGGAGATCCGGCTACACAGAGTAAGTGCTAATAATGCAGCTAAAAGTGCCGATCGAGATGATTAATCAGCTCGGTGAACGTACAAACACATGCACATATACAGATCAAAAGGAGAAATCATATAAAAACTGGATTTACCATCTTTCAGCAGTGAATTCGCTGTTGATTCCGGACTAGCCTCCATCATTGCCACTTCATCAGTGACGTATAATTGCTGCGTCACAACATGAAAGGAGAGCGACGGTCGGCGATTGGTCATGCATATTAATTAGTTTACCGACGTATCATCATTATAAATTCGCGAACGGACACCTTTTTATGCTAATGTTAATTTAACTAATTTTAGATGTTCTAATGTATTCTGTTCAATTATTTATCACATGATAATTGCAAATAAATGCGAATTTCTTTTCTCGTGGATACGAGGTCAAAGGTTAAACACACCCACCAACACCGACACGCGGAAGTGAGAGACTACTACGCATGTGAAGCTAATGACGCCGGTTGTGACCACGCGTGTTTACTCTAATATTTACTTATTTATATTTTACGGAATACATGTATCCTGTTTGTAATGAAAATGGAATACATTTTAATACGGGAGTATTTGAACCGCGCGTTTTGCCAATGACTTCTTAGGGTTGTAAACCGCGGAATTTATGACCGAGGTCCACAATAAAATCCCAATGGACAGTGGGAACATCATGGACCTGTTTCACAGGGGAAGGCCAGTCAGAGTGTGTGCACCCATGGTCCGCTACTCAAAGTAAGTGAGACAACACTGTATTGATTCCTGTAACGTGTGTTGTTCTGAATGGTTTCCTATGTTGTTTGTTCTTGCTGTTTCAGGCTGGCCTTCAGATGTTTGGTGAGGAGATATGACTGTGATGTGTGTTTCACCCCAATGATCGTTGCAGCTGATTTCATGCGTTCTGCAAAAGCTAGAGACAGTGAATTCACCACCAATAAGAGTAAGTTGTACTTCATGCAACTTTTTCTTCAGGATGTCCTCATCAAGGCTGAATTTATTTGATCAGAAATAGAGAGAGAAAAAACAGTAATATTGTGAAATATTATTGCAATTTAAAATAATGGTTTTCTATTTTAATATACTTTTAAAATGTATTTTTTTCCTGTGATCAAAGCTGAATTTTCAGCATCATTACTTCAGTCTTCAGTGTCACATGATCCTTCAGAAATCATTCTAATATGCTGATTTATTATCAATGTTGAAAACAGTTTAGCTGCTTTTTTTTTGGAACCTGTGAAATTGTCTAATTTAAGTCTTTATCACTTTTCATCAATTTAACACATCCTTGCTGAATAAAAGCATTTATTTCTTTCAAAATAAAAAAAAATTATTGACCCCAAACGTTTGAACGGTAGTATATACTGTTACAAAAGATTTCTATTTTGAATAAATGCTGTTCTTTTTAACTTTTTAACCAGCATTGATAATAAAATAGCATATTAGAATGATTTAGATAGATCATGTGACACTGAAGACTGGAGTAATGATGCTGAAAATTCAGCTTTGCATCACAGAAATAAATAATATTTTAAAGTATATTAAAATAGAAAACCATTATTTTAAATTGCAATAATATTTCATAATATTAATTTTTCTTTCTGTATTTTTGGTCAAATAAATGCAGCCATGACTTTTGAATCCCAAACTTTTGAACGGCAGTGTACATACACATACATACATCACAATGGTCACATTGTATTAAAATTATTTATCATACAAAATTAAACAAAACATTGACATCAAACATGAAAATGTATTCATATTACCATACACTGCATGGGTCCAGAAATATGCAAAAATAAAAGTAAAATATTTATTTAGTTTTTGATGTGATGCTCACAACTAAATATTCACTAACATATTCTACCAGAATGATTATCTTTTTGTTTGTGTGCATTTCTTTTTTTCCATGTTGGGTTTATTACAGAATTACAACATGGAATTGGTTAAATAGGAAAATTAATAATTTTGTTAATGCATAAAACAGTTGGCCAGATATTATTATTAACTATATTATCAAGTGACGGTAGAATCTATGCTAAAATAACAAAGTTTGAGCATGGATCCTTTGACATTAACAGCCAGAATTAAGATGGGAAGTATTTATTTAATGTTGCATGATTATATGCATGCGCTTTTAACAGACTTTGATTATTTCAGCTAAATTCCCCTGCTCTAGGTGAGGTGAAGCAAACAAATGTAAATCTAACAGACCTAGCTGAACCACTGAAAAATTAGTGAACCTTTTCAAATAAAATTTGTTTCACGCAAAAGAAAATCGTACTGTGCATCATGCATATGTTGCTGCACTGCATTAACATTTTCCATAAATTATTTCACTAATTTTCCAAAAACATTTCCAGACAGGAGAACATTTAATTGTCAGAATATTTTATTGGTGTAAAATTGCCAACATTTGTTATTGGGAAAATTATTCTGTTTACTCATGAACTCTTCCTTGACCTCAGTGAGACTAATTTGATGCAAGCAACCTTTTGCTTTTCATTGAGTCACTGGCACAGCCTTCTGCTCAATAATTACTCCTATCATTTTAACATTTGTTTGCTTCTTAGCTGACCGACCCTTGATTGTGCAGTTTGCTGCGAAGGACGCGCAGACGCTGGCAGATGCGGCGTGTGTGGTTTCCCCTTTCTCCGATGGGGTGGATTTGAACTGTGGCTGTCCACAAAGGTAATCTCAGAGAACATAAAAATACACAAATATTTACCCTCAATGACAGTTCGCACAAAGATTTTTAAAGCAGTGAATTAAATATAAATTGTAGGTTTTTCTAGAGACTTTCTCAACATATATGTCTAAAGGTGCTGTGCAGGGCCAGATGCAAACTGCTGATTCTTTTGTGCATTTTTCAGTCTGAATTTAATGCAAAACGTGGATTTAACTGTGTTAAACTTAGACGAGGGTACTAAACCTAAATGGTAATCAAATTACCCAGAATAATTAATAAACTAACAAAGTGGGTGTTAAAAAATGGCTAACTTTGTAATTGACAGGTGGTTTAATTCTATTGAACTTAGAACATGTTCTGCATGGATCGCATCTGTAGGATCTGCAGATTTCACTTGTTTTTCGTTGCAGATGGGCCGTGTCTGGAGGCTACGGTGCGTGTCTGATTAACAAACCTGAGCTAGTGAAAGACATGGTTCGACATGTCCGAAACCAAATTGACAATCCCAACTATGCAGTATCCATTAAAATAAGGTGAGCATATGATTTCTTGACTAGAAAATACGTTCATGCTAAGAAATATTCAAGGTTGCACTTACAAAGGAAGTCAAAGGGACACGGCGTTACAGAGATTTACAAGCAGAAAATATGAAGCTTGTATTTTTGTTAGAAAACTTTTTCTTTTTTTTTGACAAAAAATGTGTTATTTAATTTTAAAGGTGTTTAAATTGTTGGACCGTTCACAAAACAAAATTATTCCACAAGTCTTCCACATATAGCAAAACTGCCTGATTTTTTTTTAGTCACAAAATCTAACTATATTATCACCCAGCTCTTTATATAAAGTTAGTTATATAAGTACGTCCAACTTTATCTGCATACGTACAGTATACTCGCATAAAACAATATATATACTACATAACATATCTCAACTGCCTTTTTTTTTCCCCCGCAAAAATGTAACTAAATTATCATCCAGCTCTTTATATAAAGTTGGATATAAATATGTCTATCTTTATATGCACATGTATGGTATATTTACCCATGTTCAGTATATTTATTAATTTGTTTGTTTATAATTTTTATTCATATTTATATATCTGTTATTATATTATTGTGTGTTCTGCTCTCTGTGTAATTATGCTCTCGTTTTCTTAAGTGCAATACTTTTCAGTGGATGTTAATATTCTTGATGTTTATAGTGATTCAGTTGTTTTTTCCTACTTATTTCACTTAGTCTGCTTAAGTTTTTTCTTATTTTTATTTATTTTTTTCTTCATTCTCCTTTGTGTTTTTTGTACAGTCTTGTCCATGCTGCTGTAACGTCTAAATTCTCCCTTGGGGATAAAAACATCTGAATATGTATGCTGTTTTATGCTGAAAAATGTATATAATTAAAAAAAATAAAAATTCATTAACTATGTCTTTGGAGGGCTTTTATCTTTCAAACACATTAAAATGCATAAAATGATATTTCTTATTTACATGTAATGCAGTGTCCGAAACCAAATCGACAATCCCAACTATGCAGTATCCATTAAAATAAGGTGAGCATATGATTTCTTGACTAGAAAATACGTTCATGCTAAGAAATATTCAAGGTTGCACTTACAAAGGAAGTCAAAGGGACACGGCGTTACAGAGATTTACAAGCAGAAAATATGAAGCTTGTATTTTTGTTAGAAAACTTTTTCTTTTTTTTTGACAAAAAATGTGTTATTTAATTTTAAAGGTGTTTAAATTGTTGGACCGTTCACAAAACAAAATTATTCCACAAGTCTTCCACATATAGCAAAACTGCCTGATTTTTTTTTTGTCACAAAATCTAACTATATTATCACCCAGCTCTTTATATAAAGTTAGTTATATAAGTACGTCCAACTTTATCTGCATACGTACAGTATACTCGCATAAAACAATATATATACTACATAACATATCTCAACTGCCTTTTTTTTTCCCCCGCAAAAATGTAACTAAATTATCATCCAGCTCTTTATATAAAGTTGGATATAAATATGTCTATCTTTATATGCACATGTATGGTATATTTACCCATGTTCAGTATATTTATTAATTTGTTTGTTTATAATTTTTATTCATATTTATATATCTGTTATTATATTATTGTGTGTTCTGCTCTCTGTGTAATTATGCTCTCGTTTTCTTAAGTGCAATACTTTTCAGTGGATGTTAATATTCTTGATGTTTATAGTGATTCAGTTGTTTTTTCCTACTTATTTCACTTAGTCTGCTTAAGTTTTTTCTTATTTTTATTTATTTTTTTCTTCATTCTCCTTTGTGTTTTTTGTACAGTCTTGTCCATGCTGCTGTAACGTCTAAATTCTCCCTTGGGGATAAAATATAGTCTTATCTTATTTTAATCACATAAAGTAATATATATATATATACTACATAAAATATCTCAACTGCCTGTTTTTTTTTGTCGCAAAATATAACTGCATTATTGTCCAGCTCTGTAGCTGGGTATATGAAAGCATGTCCAACTTTATCTGCATATACAGTATACTTGTGTAAGGCGATATATACTATATAGCAAATCTCAACTGCTTGATTCCTTGTATTGTAGCAAAATATGATCACCCAGCTCTAATCTGCTAAATGCAAATAATAAGACATGAATTATATTTTAGAGTTTATTAAAATAGAAAACCATTATTTTAAATGGTGATAATATTTTACTGTATTAGAGTTTTTTCTGTATTTTTGGTCAAATAAATGCCGACATGATGAGCAGAAGAGACTTTTGAACAGCATGATTTGTGGAGTTTGAGTGACTTTGTTGGATGAGATCAGTTTAAAGTGAGCAATAGTGAGATTTGAACTCAGATCTCCACGATTAAAACACAGAGCTTTATCTCCTGCGCCACTGAGTCTGTGGAGCTGGTGAGGGTTTTGAACAGGATTTTATTGAGAGATTTGTTGTAAATGATGCATAACTTTATCAGCTGTGGGATTTGAACCCAGACTTTGGTGTTTGAGATTGAAATCTTTAACGCTGAGCCACAGAAGCTGTGATATTGCACTGGGGTTGTTTACGGGATCATAAAGATTTTAAGTTGATCTGAACATAAGTTTAGGCTGAATAAAAGACAGTCACTTCATCTGTAGGATTTGATCACATCTCTGTTGCGGTTTCATGATTCTAGTGTTTAACCACTGGGTTCACCACTATTTTTGGCCTATTACATTAGAATTTATTAGTTTTATTATTTTTTTAGTTAAAACATGAAGACTTTGTGCTTTCTTTTAAATAATACAATGTTTATGGTCATCACTGTCACTGGAAAAATAACCAATTACACTTGCACAACAGGAGGGCGCAACCTGTTCATTTTAAGTTTATTAGACTCGATTTGCAGCGCTGTAATTCACAAAAATCACCACAGGGGGGCGCAACACATTCATGTTCATTAGATTGAATTTGAAGCAGTGTAATTCACAAAAATCACCACAGGGGGGCTTAACCCATGTAAATTCACTTCAAAAGTCAGATGATTGAAACGGGCCCTCTTGTGGTGATTTCTGTGAATTGCACCGCTGCAAAAAGTGTCAAACTAATACTCTTCAGCTCCACGGAGCTCGTATCCATGTGTATATGAATGAAGTAACTCAGGCTGGGTAGAAGATGGTCACAGCATCTGTGGGATTTAAACACGCTTCTGTTGACGTTTAATGACTGAAAGTCTCAAATGTGATGTTGACGCTTGAATGCGAAGAGCAGCAGAATGACAGAAACTGAAGTGCGGTTTTTCATCCGCTCCACTAGGCGGCGCAAGCGGGTTTCGCCTTCAGTCTGACGCCTTCAGCTGCTTGACAACATGACGCTTGAGAGTCACAACAACAACACGTGCAGATCCTGCAGATGACAGCTGTTTATATCACTAACAACACACGTTTCAGCTCAACTGCAAATAAAATCGACACAAAATCCGACGAGACGCTGGAACCGAGTGTCACGCGACTCACCTGTAAGTAACTTTCCGCTTAAAGCGAATTTCTCTCGTTAAATGGCTTGCAATGAATCGGTAGTTGTTGCGTTACCTTTATAATCTCTGAACGAATCGCCCTGATAGTGACATTATAAAGTGCAGTAATGAGGAATCGCGCTGTTTGTCTCTGTTGATGCTGCAGCAGATGTTTTGTGAAGCTCTGAACTTCTTCTTCTTCTTCTTCTTCTGGGATTTCATGGCGGTTGGCAAACCAACTTAAGGTGCATTTCTTGAAGGTTTAGGTCCATCTCCTAACAAAACCTGGAGATCATTTATTTCTAAATATCTTAAAGCTTGACTTAGCTGGAAACGTTCTCTTTCATAAGCCTCACATTTCACATAAGAACATGTTCTACAGGTTCTGTTAACCCACATTTGTCACAATTTCCATTTTCATGTTTTTCTATTCTATATAAGCACTGATTTAATAAACAATGACCAATACGCATTCTTGCTGTTAAAGCGTCCTCTTTCCTGTTTCTAAATCTTCTTCTCTCTGAACCAACCTTTTCTTGTATGCGGTGTAAATGTCTAACTTTTGTTCCTTCTTTCCATTCATTCTGCCATATTTCCTGCATTTATTTCACTATTATCGCTTTTATTTCTGTTTTACTTAATGCCACTTCAATGTCTATTTGTGAATGATTTAATCTCTGATGTTCTCTTGCTGCTTCAGGCTTTTTCTTCTTCTACTTCTGACTGCCGTAATAAGAGCACAGCCATTAAAATACTATTTTATTTTTTTGAGAAGACATGTCTTAATATTAGCATGCAGCAATGAACTATATGTGATGTTTTTTTTCTATTAATAAGTGTTTTCTATGAGTTTTTTTTGCCTGTAAGACAGTCGTTTAATTACAGATGAAACTGAGACATACAGCAGATCGAATCAAAATGATTGATACAGCTTTGCTGAAGTATAATATGCAACATTAATATGTTTGACTGTTTACAATTTTAGACTAGATATTAAATATGTCTAATAATGTCTTTGTTTATATCTTGTCTCTCCAGAATAAGTGATGTGTTGTTGGTTGTAAACTGGTCCGGCTGAAGCAGAGCTCTGGGACGTGTGGACAGACATTGACTGTAATGATGGACATCTGCTCAGGGACAGGTAATGTGTCTCATGTGTGAATGTGTGTTCTAGTGCACTAAACATGTAGGTTACCATCATTGTCTTTTTGAAGGGCCTTCCTTTGAAAAGCAAATGGTGGTAACCTAAGTAGATGGGGAAGGGACGGAGGAGCAAAGTTTTTATGCAGCTTTATTTTAATTTTTCAGTCTGTCTAAAAGTATAACCGCTGCGTGTCACGGTGCTGGGAGCTCCAGGGGGAGACCGTGCTGATATCCCCCTTCTTCAGGCACGCCTTCACACACACTCCAGCATTCACTCGTATCGCAGAGACCTGGCTGGGATCAAACCAGCAACCTCTGAACCCGTGAGGCAGCGCTCTTACCTGCGAGCCACAGGTCTCTTGCTGGAGCACATGAAGGAACTTATATCTGACTGTTTACCTGTGATTTCTCAATAAAACGCTTAAAGTAATCAGTGGGATTTGAATCCACATCTCCAGCTCAGCTTTGTGTTCAGAGAACATGTGTTTATTCACTGGACCGTCATGGATTTCACATTGATTTGTGGAGTTTGAGTGACTTTGTTGGATGAGATCAGTTTAAAGTGAGCAATAGCGGGATTTGAACTCAGATCTCCACGATTAAAACACAGGGCTTTATCTCCTGCGCCACTGAGTCTGCTGATCTGGTCAGGGTTTTGAACAGGATTTTATTGAGAGATTTGTTGTACATGATGCATAACTTTATCAGCTGTGGGATTTGAACCCAGACTTTGGTGTTTGAGACTGAAATCTTTAACACTGAGACACAGAGGCTGTGATGCTGCACTGGGGTTGTTTTCTGGATCATAAAGATTTTAAGTTGATCTGAACATAAGTTTAGGCTGAGGCGGTCTGATGACGTCACTCGCTGCGCGCGTTTAGTCGTTTTCTGAATTTTGTCGTTCGTCCGAAATTTTCCTTCCTGGAGGATTTCTTCATTCGCGGGTGAGATGTAAACCGATGGCCTTTTCGCTTCTGTGGGCGGTGTCATCATTTCTAGTTCGTCTGCGCTTGAGTTTTGTCTTGATTTACCGTGTGTTCGTTTCCTGTTTGATCACATCTTATTTTATAATCATTTACACTCGACTTTCAATATAATTCAACACTTATGCATTTTAACTACATGAACTGAGGTCTGATAATTGCACTGCACTTCTAAATACTGTTTTTATATGTTGTGTGTGTGGTACAAACATGAGACATGCTTCCTGTTAAAGTGTTCAACTGCAAGATGCAGGTGAAATGCTATTATCAAGGCATAATGCCATAAGTAGATTATTTGAGAGTAATAACAGCTTTGACTAGTAAGGAATTATGCATTATTTTTCCAATCTGGTACAGCATTAGCTAAACGTTTATGTATATAAAAGACTAACCCATTTTTGTTTCTTTATTACTTCTTTAGTCATACAGCTGATACAACATGACCTTGCAGTGGACTGCGGTTGCATCGTTCTTGTATGTAGAGATTGGTGTTCTCCTCATCTTTTGCCTGCCTTTCATCTCCGCTCAAAGGTAAAATGTTCCCTTGTAATCCATTTGTGCTTGCTGTTGTCCACTTGCTCTTACTGACGTCCATGTTTGCAGATGGCAAAGTATTTTCAAATGGAGCATCTGGAACCGTCTTTCCCAGTTCCGGAACAAGGGCTTTCTCACCATGATAATAATCCTCATAGTTCTCTTTCTTGGTATGTAATTTTCTTTATTTATTGCCATGTCTTAAAGGAATAGTTCACCCCAAAAATAAAAATAGCTGAGAATTTACTCACCCTCAGGCCATCCAAGATGTAGCGGAGTTTGTTTCTTCATCAGATTTGGAGAAATGTACATCTCCTGCTCAGCAATGGATGCTCTGCAGTGAATGGGTGCCGTCAGAATGAGTCTCCAAACAGCTGATAAAAACATCACAATAATCCACACCACTCCAGTCCATCAGTTAATGTCTTGTAAACAAAAAGCTGTGTTTGTAAGAAACGAATCCATCATTAAGACATTTTAACTTTAAACCATTGTTTCATAGTCTATAATCCATAATAACGCTTCTTCCAGTGAAAAAAATCAATTTTCTGTTGTTTCTCACATCAAAATCCACCCACATATTTGTTTAGGTCTGTTTTGGCTTGTAAACGGTGCTTGATCTGTGCAGATTTCTCTCCTTATGAATGAGATGACTTTTTCACTGGAGGAAGCAATATTATGGATAGAGGACTCGTATTTAGCCAAAAACAAGAGTTTGAAGTTTAAAATGTCTTGATGGATTTGTGTACAAACACACAGCTTTTTGCTTCACAAGACTAAGTGATGGACTGGAGTGGTGTGGATTATTGTGGTTTTTATCAGCTGTTTGGACTCTCATTCTGACGGCACCCATTCACTGCAGAGGATCCATTGCTGAGCAAGTGATGCAATGCTACATTTCTCCAAATCTGATGAAGAAACAAACTCATCTAAATCTTGGATGGCCTGAGAATGAGCACATTTAAATAAAAAATGACCCGAGTTGTGTTTAAACCTGCTGCAGATGCCCTGCGGGAGGTGAGGAAGTACTCGAATGCTGACCAGAGCAAAGATTCCAAACTTTACCCCAACGCGTTCGACCACATGCACATGAAGCTCTTCCGAGCCCAGAGGAACCTCTACATCTCTGGTTTCTCGCTCTTCCTGTGGCTGTACGCATTAATCAACATGAATGACAATACCCATTGGCAGTTTGTCTTGTGATATTGAACTCTGGTGCTGTTTTCTCACAGTGTCATGAGGAGAGTCATCACTCTGATTAACCAGTTGGCCACAGCCATCGGCACCAGCACCGCTATGCAGACTCAGGCTGAAAGCGCCAACAAAGCTGCCAAGAAATACATGGAGGACAATGAGATGCTTAAACAGGTTAAAAGCCTTAAAAAGCTGGAATCCCATGAAACCTGCACCACATTTCACCCCAAAATCAAAAGACTGATATATAGAAATAATATTTTCAATTAAGAATTTAACTGTGATGAAAATAATGTAAAAAATATTTTACTTTAATGAAACCTACACCACATTTCACCCCAAAATTAAGGGATAGATTTATAGAAATTATATTTTCAATCAAGAATGTTATTTTCATGAAGATAATGCAAAACAGTTTTTATTTTCTTGCATAAGATAACCATTTTTTTTTCTTTTGATTTTGGGGTGAAATATGACCTAAATCATATTTTTTTTATTTAATTGTCTTGAAAATAATGCAACAAAGTACTTAAATGAAACCTGCACCCCATTTCACCCCAAAATCAAAAGACAGAAATTACAAATAATATGTGTAATGAAACATTTAAATTTCATGAAAATAATGCAAAACATTTTTAATTTCTTCATGCATAATGTTTTTTTCTTTTGATTTTGGGGTGAAATATGACCTGGACATACCATTTTTACAGCAGTCACAGCTCAATAATTATCAAGTTATCCAAGTGATAAACATGGATGAGGAGGAATAAAAATAATATTTTTAATTAAAAATTCAATTGTCATGAAAATAATGCAAAGTTTTTACTTCAATGAAACCTGCACCATATTTCGCCCAGCGATCAGAAGACAAACATAAAGAAAAACATTTTCAATTAAGAATTTACTTGTCATGAAAATAATACAAAACAGTTATTTTATGTATTTTTTTTTCTTTTAAATTTGGGGTAAAATATAGCTTGTTGGATCAAGTTATCCAAGTTATAATCTTGGATGAGGAGGAATAAAATGATTTGTAGCGTTTTAGAGACTGGTGTCCTTAAAGACCATTTAGTAATAGAAGTACAAATGACTGTCATCCTCAGGCACTTACAGACGCTAAAGGAGAAGGAGGGAAGACACAAGATCCAGAAGAGAACAAACTCCTGAAGAAAGAGGTGCAGAGACTGACGGAGGAGCTGAAGAGCAGCACCGATGGTGAGCACAGGCCATACAGACACTCCACACTCATTCTGCTTCACAATTACAATCAAATAAATGACCTGGAATAGAGTAGCTCTACAAGTTAAAGCTGTTTGTTTTTCTGTAGCTCTGAAAAAGTCAAAGTCAGATTTGGACGCCATGAAGAAACAAACTGAAGGACTGACCAAAGAATACGACCGTCTCCTTCAAGAGCACCAGGAGCTTCAGGTAACACACACACACATCGAAAATTCAAACCAACCACATGATATTATACAAGTGCTTAGAAAGAAGTTGTTATCATTGAATAAAACTAAAACCGAAAAACATTAAAACATTTACAATGTATTTAAATGAGAAGAAAATGAACCGAAATAAAATATAAACACAAACTTTCATTTAAAGTTGAATTACTAAAAAAAAAACTACATACACGTATTTACCAAAAAAAAAAAGAAAAAACAAAATTAACAAAAACAAAATGACTAAAACTTTAAAATTAAAATGAAAACCGAAAATATAACTTTCCTATAATAAATACAAACTTTCTTTTAAAGCTGAAGTACTAAAATAACAAAACTTAAAACTATATAGACATTTGCCAAAAAAAAAAAAATTACTAAAACTTTGAAATAAAATTAAAATGGAAAATATAACTTTCCTATAAAAAAATAAACAAAGTTCTAAAAAAAAGAACTAACACTTAAAATCTAGACACATTTACTAAAAATAAATACATAATTAAATAAAAAAATTAAAATGACAAAATTACTAAAACTTTAAAACTGAAAATAAAAAAATATAAAAAAAAAAATCTAGTTATATAGCTAATATTGTAAGCTAATATCAAAATAAAATTTTCAAATACTTTAAATATAAAAATAAAATCTAATTAACTATTATCTCAATTAAGTAACTTTGAAAATTAGTAGTGGCAGATATTTTAAATCTATATTGTTTTGCATGTTGTAAACAAATACCGTTTAACAGCTTCCATGCTTCAAATGATACCCTCAAAATATTATAATTGTAATAAAATAATAAACGGTACAAAGATGAATTAAAATTTAGTTATTTATAAAATCTAGCATAAAATACTGACAAATACTGTTTGTAAATAAAATAAATTATAAATTAAATAAATTACTTATACCATCAATGCCATTTAATATTATTGTGCATCCCGACAAAAATTATTAAAAATAGGATATTTGTTACAGATATTAAGTAAGGACCAAGAACAATACAGAATCGTTGTTTAGATAAGCAACATTTTTTTTCTTGTTCTGTCTCGTTTTTTAGAATCAGCTGGACAGTGGAGACAAAAAAGACAACTAGGCAAGTGGACGCATTGGAAACCTGTACGTTAATGCACAACAATCACGGTCATGCTCAGTTCCTCTCACATACACTCACCTGGTAGCATGACATGCAAACTGTTATGAGTTCTTGACAGTCAGTTGATGACATCACATCCTGTCAGGTTTCCTGCTCACCACACATTTGAAGTAGCGGTTTTCCGGTTTTGATGTTGAAGCGGTGCAGTGCTGTATTTTGAGATTGCTGCATAATGTGGCTGTCTGCGAATAGAGCGACTGAAACCCAACACTCATTGATGTTTACAGGAAACTGTATGTTATTTAGTCAAAAAGCCATAGTGACTGATGTTTGCATGTTGCATTGAAATACCTTGTGTTGCTTTCCTTCTCCTCTGCTAGATTCTCTCCCTTATTTTGTTTAAAGTGCATATCAAACCAGGTTAGTCGTGCAACATCCAGAAACATGCAAACACGAGTCAATAGTAGTACGATTGTAATACTTCCTGAAGAACTTTAAGCATATTTCCACAGCAATATTTCCATTCATATTTTCCAAAGACGACATTATGGAAGCCTATCTAAGATCACATACATTACAGGCTGCGTTAGTCATTTGATCAACTTTAATTAAGAAGCAAAACCGTATACACATAAACAACAGGCAAGAACTAAACATCACAATGAGACCATTTATTTCCGGGCTGAGCAAACAGTCTGTTAGCGAGCGGTTAGTGTGTTTGTTCTCGAGTCTGGAGAGGTAGGTCAATTACACCGGAGTTCAAATGCTGAAATGTGAAATTAAACCGATTTCACAGTCCAGTAGAGATAAGTGATCATTTCTTAATTTTGAGTCCATTTGAGGTAGATGGTTTTGTGCTATTGATGCTTAACATTGTTGAATCTTACAAAACATGTCCAGGCCACATTTCACCCCAAAATCAAATTATATTTTGTATAAAGAAAATTAAAGTATTAAGATTTATTTCTTGTTTTGCATTTTTATTATAATTTAAAAATGTTTCATTACAATTAAGCACATTTTTATGGAAGCTTGTGTCTGCCATGGGATAAAAATCATAAAGGTAATTGTGACTTTTTACCTCACAATTCAGACTTTTTCTCAGAATTGCAAGATATAAACTCTGAATTCTGAGGGAAAAAGTCAGAATTACTAGATATAAACTCGCAATTGTGAGAAAAGAGTTAGAATTGTGAGATTCTTTAAAAAAAATTTTTAGTCTGTGGCAGGAACAAAAAAATTGCAAGAAAAAGAACTGCGATATATAAACTCAGAATTTTCTGAGTTTATATTTTGTAATTCAGATTTTATATTTCTTTTTATATTTGTCTCACAATTCTGAGAAAAAAAACGTAGAATTGTGAGACATAATTATAAAAAGAGATATAAAAATCAGAAGCTTCCATGCATTTAAAAAAAAAAAAAAAAAAGAATAAGCAATAAATTTATTTTAGTGTAATAATGATGAATATTCAAAACAATGAATTTACAAAAACAAATGTCCAGATGTGTTACACTGATGAGAATTATTAATTTTCTTTATGCCAAATATAGCTTGCATTTTTTTTCTTTTGATTGTAGGGTTAAATCTGACCTGGACTTGTTTTGGTGAGATTTACTCTGTTATTGGTGAGGGCTGGGTATTTTATTTCATTGTTCGCCTATTCCAGTCACAAAATGTTACAATTAAAACTATTTAGACTTGTGTGAAGATTAAAAGACTGTGAAAATGATCCTGCACTGTAAGACAGAAAAAAACCACACGGCTAAATCAGATTTTTTGGAATAAGATTATCATTTTTTCCCCATTTACTAAGAATAAGTCGTCACCCACCATGTGGGCGTTGAAAACCATGCTGTCAGTTCATGCGTCTATGATGCATGAGGCTTCCACACTCACTTCCTCTCCCTCAGACGCAGAAAAATTAGGGAGAAAACTGAAAATGTTCTTAGTTGTCATTGCTATGCAAGATGGTATGGTTGGCTGATTCCCTAAGGATGGAAATGGTCTGAAATGTCTTAGAAGGGGATTGTTTATGCCTTTGTTGTATCGGTATCTTCCTGTTAAATGTGGTTGAATATGCTATTTTATTAATCTTATGTTCTTCTAATGGGTGCAAAAATCACCTGCCTAAGTGCCTCGTTTACATTTTGCTGTGATTGTATATGCCATTTTCACGATTAAAGCGAAAAGCGGTACTGATTGTAGTTTCTCAAAATGAAGTTAATCATTTTATTATTATAAGAACGTATCTAATCTTTCACAAATGCATTTTTTTTTTTACACATCAGGACATTCACTTTAAAGTATACAAAAAACATTCCAGCAAATAAAATTATATACTGCCTAACGTAAAAGTAATAAATGCCACTCATTTTATTTGCTTTACAAGTCACAAATAAAAATCCTTTGTTAACTGGTAAACTTCAGTTGCCCGAAATGAACAAACCTGGCCAAGGACAAAGGAACATTTTCGCCAGCTGAAACCAGACAATGATTTATACAAATATATAAAATAATATTATTTGCAGATTTGAGGAACAATTGATTGAACAACCTGAGAATAGACCATGTTGACTTTGCTTTCTCGCACTTTTTGTGTTTTTTTTGGCACAGGAATGCACCCGTTCACACGTAACGACACACACACTCACACAACATTTCTCACACTGACATTGCACAACATCGATCATGAAGATGATTACTTACATACCCACGGCGTCACGCACCTGTTTGCACAGTTCTGGCCCGTTCCTCGCGTTTCTTAAATAGTCAGGTGACACTGAAAAGCACAATGGTGAGCGTTTCGTTCCTGCATGACAATACAAATGGGACGCAATTTGAGATCTCCAACAACTTAGTCAACCTAAAGCCCGCTTAACAAGGCCTACCTATATTAAGCACACAGTGTCGTGGTCAACTGTTTCAGGCATCTTATCTGTGTGTATGGCAGAAGAGAGAGATACAACAGACGTGATCATGTACCCACAAGGTATAATCATGTTAACCTTATAGGGCCTGTGCACGACGATGGCTTAAATGAGAGGAAATCCAGTGCTCTATTTGGGCATCTGACGCTTCTAAAAGCCTCTTTACGTTAAATCCAAACAAGTTAGGTAGTTTGTAAGACATTCTTTTTTTACCCAAAACATCATGTACATTCAAGAAATACTTCTACTATATCAAAAACGACTTATTTCACATCATTTACATGAGTCTGATAGAAAGTGTGAAACAGACGCCGCATCACGGCCCTGTTGCTCCCTGCGCAGGCGTGCGTGTGCATGTACGCAAGTCACAAACGCGTCTCCCGTTCCGGGTCGTAATCTGTGGTCCGCGGGCATTGGTCCGAGTTACAGCTGTTGTTTTCTTCTTTCCTGAGGGCCTGCAGTTCGCCGGCTGCGGCCCCCGTGCCTCCGTTTGCGAGCGTGTTGCGCTCTTGCCGCCGAACGTGCCGTCGTAACACCACCAGCCCGAGAATGCACAGGAAGAAGGAAGCGGTCCGCAAGCCCAGCGTCAGGCCCAGATATGCGATCCTGAGCAACGGAGAGGAAAATACAGGATAATCAACTGAACACAATTACAAGCCTAGACATACCAGGGTTTCTGGGGGTCTTAAGAAGTCTTAAATTGGAGCAGAATGTCTTTAATTCATAAACTCGTGGCATGACATGTTGCATGCATTGCACAAAATGAAATCTTTGTATTTTTGCGTTCCAATACAAATATTTAAACATGCTTAAATCAAGATGTTTACTTGAGTTGCAAATGTAAAATGTCTTCATAAATTGTACACAATTAAGTGATTTTATGCTTAATACAAGAACAAATATCTGTCAGTGGGATATGAAAACTTCCCTTTGAATTAGGTAGATTTTTCCATGTCCAGTTTTGCAGTTTTTTGCAGTTCTTATTTTAATCATAAACCTACTTCATTTTGATTAATTTCTTAGAAGATTTATTATCCTGTGTCACTTTGCTTCTCAAGTAATCTTGATTTAAGAATCATTAGACATTTGCCATCAAAACCGACACAAATACTGAGGAAAAAACATCACTTTTTTGCAATGTGATCAGAAGGTACAGTAAAATTGATTTCCATATTCTAGTGATTTGGAGCACAGCTATTCAAGCTTCAAGCCATTTCTTTTTTCTTAAAGTGAATTAAAAGTAATGGAGATCTGTTGGAAGTTGTATTTTGTGCTCCCTAGACATTTACATTTAGAGAACATATTGACATATTGTGTTCCCTTCCATTTATTCCTTCCATTTTCTTTACTTATTCTTAAAAGGGAGTTATTTTTACCTTGATCAAATCTGCAGAAACCATGATAAACACAAGATCTAACGTACACAAGAATTTCAGTTTCTTACATTGTCCTCGTTACAAGTTACTATAGTAATAACAGTAAATTATGCATAGCTGCATGCAATAACCCTAAACCAAACCATAATGCTAACCCTACAGCAAGTACGTTGTTAATTAATTTTTACTCTGTACTTAAATGTACAAATACACTTTAAAAAGGACATTGTAAAATAAAGTGTAACTGAATTTCATATTACAGCATCACACTATACAAGATGTTTACATGCAAAAATCTTTCTGAATGAATCCAATCCGATGAATCCTAAATGTTGCAATCCAATTTGCATATTAATTTACACATGCATTACATGTATTGTGCACAAAAAAAGAAAGCTGACATATGCCAAGAGTCTTTTTAGCAAATATTTAGTAAACATTCAGTCCAATATTCACCAATACTTCTAAGACGTGAGGCGCAAATAAATGCACATTTGTAAGACGTAAAATGCATGTAAACATACGCATCACGTGCAAAGTATTTCTGAATCCAATTGTGAAAATCATTGGATTCAGGTGTTTACATGCTTAATTTTTCCACTGAACAGATTATTTCAGGTCTACACCTGAGATTTAATTCAAATCGATCTCATTTGGATCGATTGAGGTGATTACATGATGGCTTTTCAGTCTGATTGAGCCATCAATCCGATTACTAACAGATGTAGCTGCTGCTAAAAAAAGTGTTTTTTATTTTGAAAACCTGTATTTTTGAATAAGCAAAAATAAGTTAGTTGTGTTGCTACTTTGACTTATTCCAACCCTACACTGCAAATATGCAAGTCAAGTGTGGTGATGAGCCGAATACCTGTAGGCAGTGGTGTTGTAGATTCGACAGGCTCCTCTCCCACCACATTTCTTCTGACCCCATTTCAGACAGGTGGTGTCTATGATGGCTCCGAAGTATATAGGAGCTGGAATTCCAGCTGTGGAAGGCAAAAAAACACCACACCATCCACTACTGCTTCAAAACAAATCATTATTACCACTGTGACTACAAAATGATTCAGCA